CTGCAGAGACCATTAAACAAAGTGTTGTCTGTTGTGACAGCAGATCAATTATCTGGAATACGGAGTGGCTGCCGAGAGAGAGAGAGAGAGAGAGAAAGAGAGAGAGAGAGAAAAAGAGAGAGAGAGAGAAAAAGAGAGAGAGAGAAAGAGAGAGAGAGAGAGAGATTGAGAGACAGGCTGGCCTGGGTATGGTGGCACACACCTGTAATTCCAGCACTCAGCAGGCTGAGGCAGGAGGATGGCCATGAGTTTGAGGGCCAGCCTGGACTACATAGTGAGTTTAAGGCCAGTCTGAATTACAGAACGAAACCCTATCTCAAAAAAGAGAGAGAGACAGAGACAGAGACAGAGAGACTACCAAAACCCACACTCAGGAAGGAAATCAAAGCTAACCTAAATAGTTCTGAATCTGTCCAAGCAATGAATTCCTAGTTAAAACCTTCTGGAAAAGGAATCTTCAGGCCCACTCAGTTTCCTTGGTAAATTCTACCAAACATTTCAAGAATGGACACACCAATTTTACACAATCTCTTCCAGAAACTAGAAAGTCGACTTCATCAACAGACTAAAGAGAAACTACAGGATCATATGAATTGAGGTAGGAAAGGTGTGTGCGACAAAATTCAGCATCCATTCACAGTCCTCTGTCAAACTAGGAGAAGAAAACCTGAACCAGAAAACTGGCACCTATGAAAGGCCCCACAAAACCCCATCACACTCAGCACTGGAAAACGATGCTATCTGAACAAGACAATGATGTCCTCTCTCCAAGGAGACACAGTACAACTTTTATTCTGTGTAAAAGGCTAAATACATAAATGACAGAGAGAGTGGAAGAAATAGAACTACCTCTATTCACAGACATGATTATCTATGTGAAACCTACCCCCGAAAAAAAAATCCCTGATAAGTGAGCTCCACCAGGTCACAAAATATAAAGTCAACACAGAAAATCCCACTGGATTTCCATATACTAGATATACACAACTAGATATCTAAAAAATTTTAAAATACCATTTAAAGTAGCTCCAAAAATGAAATAATTAGATGTAAGTCCAACTGAACACATCTATGTTGAAAAGTAAAAATAGTGAGGGAAGAAAGCAAATAAGATGAAAATAAATAGAAAGATATATCACGTTCACTGATTGGGAAAACTCAATACCTTTAAGATGCCTCTTAAAGTCCTCTCCTAGTTAATCTATATAATGCCCTGTCAATCAATCAAAACTTCTGCAGGATTTTTTATGAATATACATGAGCTGATTCCAAAATTTCAATGAAAAGACACAGAAGCTAGAATAGCCAAAAACAATTTGAAAAGGAATAGTAAAGTTAGAGAATTTACTTTCTCAACCTATAAAACTACTGGCAGAAATAGCCCCATACATGTATGACGAGAAGATTTTTGACAAAGTTGCTAAGACAACTCAATGGAAATTCAGCAATCTTTTAACAAATAGTGTTGGGCCACTTGGATCTCCATATGCAAAACAGTACCTTTAACACAAACCTCACTTCACAAAAAAAGGAACTCAAAATGGATCATAATAAAAATGTAAAGCTATGAATATCTAGAAGAAAATACAGAAGAAAAAATTCACAGCCTGGGGTTAAGCCAAAGGTTTTTATACTTGACCACCAAAAACCCGATCCATGAAAGTCAGAGCCTAGTAAATAAGATTTCGTTACGATTTAAAACCTGTGCTTTACAAAAGAACCCAACTAGGAGAAGCTACAAACTGGGAGAAAATATTTTAACTCCTAAATTCAGAAAGGACTTATATTTAAAATATAAAGCACTCATAACGTAACAATAAGAAAACAAATAATACATTTTAAAGTGAGCGAGCTCCAGGTACCAGTGGGGACAATATGAGCAAAATCTATTGTACACAGTGAACCCCCCAAAATGTGAAAGGGGGACAGTAGGGCAAGAAGGATGATGGGCCGGGCGTGGTGGCGCACACCTGTAATCCCAGCACTCGGGAGGCTGAGGCAGGAGGATCGTTGCAATTTCGAGACCAGCCTGGGCTACAAATGAGCTCAAGGCCAGCTTGAACTACATAGTGAGAGCCTGTCTCAAAAAGACAAAAAAAAAAAAAAAAAAAAAGAAGGATGATGGGTGAAAATGATCAAAATATGTTAGATGCATGTGCCAATCTGCTAAAATGAAACTCATTAATTTAAAAAATGATCAAGCTTGGCACAAAGGAATAGATTTTTTTTTAAAGCAATCCATATGCATGCCTACAGTCCCAGCTACTTGGGAGGCTGAGGCAAGTGAACCACTTGAGCTCAGGAGTTCAAGACCAGTTTGGGCAACATAGTGAGACTCTGTCTTTAAAAAATAAGCAAACAAATAAATAAGACAGAGGGCTTGAATGGGCATTTCATCCAATAGATTACTTATACTGCAGATAAGCATGTGAAAAATGTCCCATATTACTAGTGTTTAGGGAAATGGGAATTAAAACTACCACAAGATATTATCATAGATGTATTAGAGTGACTTGGAAAAGAACAAACCAAGCTGGCAATATTAAGTATGGGGGAAATTGTAGCGCAGTTAGGTGTTTCACACATGGCTGGTGGGAGTGTAAAATGATACATCCCACAGGAAGTGCAGCTCAGCAGTCCCTTGCGCAGTTAAATATCCATTCACCACACAACCCAGACATCCCACGCCTAGGTGCTCACCCCAGAGAAATGGGCCTCACATCTCTGCTGCAATCACCAGGGCAACTGTTAACGGATGTCTGAGACACATCCAGACCAACTGAATCAGAATCCTTCGGGTGCAGCTAGCATCCGGGTTTTTAAAAGCCCCCGGGTGATGTGAGTGCAGTCAGCATCTGCCCAGAGGCCTCCGCACCATGGCACACAGCTGCTCCTCTGAGGTCCTTCTATGTGGTGGCCCCTGGAGTGAGAAAGAGCCAGCCCCAATCCGACCAAACCTCTGAGCAGGCGCAGTGATCAGTCTAACATCAGAGCGTTTCAGGAATCCATGAGAGAAAACGTAAGGGCAGGCCGAGGGCCTCTTCAAAGTGAGGGCTCAGAAGGCCTCATATCTGAGCTGAGATCTGAAAGATGAGAAGAGACCAGGTAAGGCAGAAGAGGTCCAGCGAGAGCACAAAGCGCAGAGGACTCGGGGAAAAGCACACTTTCACAGGGACTTTGACATGAGCATCTATGGACAACCCCCCCTGCCCCCCTGCAACACCTGCAACAGGTGCTTTTGCAGGTAGAGAAAGCAAGGTTTAGTGGTAAGGAATTTGAGAAGGCCTGGATGTGGCCAGGCAGGAATTGGATCCAGATTTCCGGGGAACAGAGCGTGTGTGTGTGTGTGTGTGTGTGTGTGTGTGTGTGTGTGCGTGTGTGTGTTTGAGAGAGAGAGAGCGAGAGCTCCTGACTGCACAGCTGCAAACAAACAAACAGCTGCCCTGACCTCACCTGTGTTCTGGTGACCTCAGGTGACAGCTGTTTGCCCGCTTCCTTACGGGCGGAGCAGCTAAGGTCGGGCGGTGGCAGGGCTGGGCTCCTGTCCTCCTGCCCCCTCCCCTGCCAGGGCTGGGAGCCGCTCAAGGATGCAGTTTCCTGTGCTTCTGACACTGGGGTTTGTTTTGTAATCTACAGAAGAGTTTTTTCTGTGTGGTCTTGAATAGTCCACACCTCTGTGCCTTAATTTTCTCCTCTGAAAAACTCAATAACAGCTCCAGCCTCAAAGGGTTGCGGTGAGGATTAAGCGCCTGGAGGACCCCAGCAAGGATGCGGCACACACCAGGCCCAGCCTTGTGCCCATCCGGCTGCTGCTGGAGGGGTAGGGGTAGCTGACCCGGCTGGGCACAGGCCAGGTCCCTCACAGAGGAAAGCGGTCCTTGCGGCCAGAGATCGCCTCGCGGATGCTGGCTAGGAACTTGGCAGTTCCAAGTCCACCTTCCCGAGATGCATTTTCAATCTGCATTTTAAAAATCAGTTTCTAATGGTTATAAGGTAAACGTGAATCTGATCAAACACACAAATCCAAGTGGGCTTCCAACAAATACACGCAGCAGAGAAAAACTAAATAGCAAGCTGCCCCTGCGTGGGTGAAAGACAATAAAGACCTAGCTCTAAGGAAGGCCGCCAAGCCTCCGGGCCACCTCTGCCTGGGAAAACTTCGAACTGCTAAGGAAGTCGCCTGAGTGCTCGAGGTGTGGCGCCGGCAGAGTAATTCAGCGAGAAACGTAAATGTTGGAGGGCGCAGAAAGCGGGTGGCGGGGAGCTCTATACAGGGACCCAGAAAGGACCAGCGTGTCGGGATCCCGGGAAATCTTGCTCCGGGCGATTCTCCCGCGGAGCGCTCTCCCCGCTGCGGACCAGATTCCCGCGGCAACACCAGCCCAGACCCCCGGGGGCGCCCGGCCCGAGATGCGGCGGAGATGACAGCGGGGACCCTTAGTCTTTCTCCGAAAGCTGAACCCCAAGCCCCCAACTCGAGCATCCAAGTGCAGCGCCGCAGCCTTGGCGTTGCCCCCTGCTGGGGACGGGGCAGAGGCGGCCGCGGGGACACTGACCTGGGACGCCCGCGGCGCGGCGCAGGCGAGGAGCAGCAGCAGGAGGAAGAGCGCGCGCGGAGCGCCGGGCACCATCTTGCCAGCCGGAGCCTCGCGGCTTGCTCGCTCGGGAAGGGGAAAGAGCTCGGTGCGCCCTTCCTGCCGCGCGGGTCCCCGCCGTGCGTCGCCGGGGCGCAGCGGCC